GGGACAGGGACACCCTTACTGGGGACAGGGACACCCCACACTGGGACAGGTGACACCACACTGGGACAGGGACACCACACTGGGACAGGGACACCCTTACTGGGGGACAGGGACACCACACTGGGACAGGTGACATCACACTGGGACCAGCACTGTGAGCAAACTGGGACCAATACAGAACATGGCCTGGCACCAGCTGGGAGTACTGGGACCAGTAAGCAAAGCAGGCTTGGACCAGTACGGAGGGCAGAGCAGTAACCACAGGGGACAGACTGGAACCAGTAAGGAGGACACACTGGAACCAGTAAGGAGGACAGACTGGAACCAGTAGGGACAGACTGGAACCAGTGGGGACAGACTGGAACCAGTAAGGAGGACAGACTGGAACCAGTAGGGACAGACTGGAACCAGAAGGGACAGACTGGCACCAACAGGGACAGACTGGAACCAGAAGGGACAGACTGGCACCAACAGGGAACACAGATTGGCACCAGTAAGGACTGACTGACACCAGTAAGGAGGACAGACTGGCACCAGTAAGGAGGGCAGAGTGGCACCAGCAAAGAATGCAGACAGGCACCAGTGTGGAGGACTGACTGGAATACAGATTGGAACCAGTAAGGACAGACTGACACCAGTAGGGACAGACTGGAATACAGATTGGAACCAGCAGGAACTGACTGGCACCAGTTTGGGGACAGACTGGAATACAGATTGGAACCAGTAGGGACAGACTGACACCAGTAAGGACAGATTGACACCAGTAGGGACAGACTGGCACCAGTAAGGACTAACTGGAACCGGTAGGGACAGACTGGCACCAGTAAGGACAGATTGACAGCAGTAGGGACGGACTGGCCCCGGTCTGGGGGCGGGGGGGACACCCCGGTGCCAGCAGGGCCGTCCCTCCCCCCCGGGGGGGCCCTTGTAGGGGCCGTGGGGGCAGCGGTGCCAGTCGGCGGTGCCAGCGGCTCGGGGGGCACTCGGAGCCCTTCCCACGCTTCGGATTTTTCCCGATTTCCCTGTTTTTCCGCAGGCAGGAGGATGGCACCGACGGGGCACGTGCACACCGAGAGCCTGGGCGGGGGCAAGGCCATCGCCGTCCTCCCCCCCGGGGGGGGACCCCCGGGGGGAGAAACCCCCCCCCCCAAAAAAAAAAACTGGTGGTGCCAGGGGCGAGCCCCGTTTTGGGGCGAAAAAGGGTGAAAACGGGGCTTGGGTGGTTTTTGAAGGGTTTTCTCTCCAGGTTCTGGCAGGTTTTTGGGGGTGACCTTGGGAGGACACGCGAGGCAGAGCTGAGGGGGGGGAGTTTTTTGGGGTGCAGGGTTTGTGGGGGGGGGGGGGGGGGGGGGACCTCTCACCCAAATTTTGGGGGGGGGGTTGTTGGTGGCACCTGGCACGAAGCCAATGCCGGGGAGGGGGATAAATAAATTGGGATTGCCCAAAACTGCAGGGATTCAGCCTGAAGTTTGGAATGGGGGGAGTTGGGGGGGGGTGGAAAAGCCCCTGGGGGGGG